CTCCTCGGCTCAACTGCTCAAGCCATACTTTACTTTTTTGAACCTAAACATTTTCGTAATCGAACCTTCCTTGGGGTTATAGCGGATACCGTAGATGGTAAAGAAATACATGCAGATGGTAAGGAGATACATGTTAGTGATATGTAGTGGTAGACTCGGGTCGAGCTGGGCCGGACTTGCTCCTGAGCATGCTCCATTTCGAAAAAATAAAGGCCCGATACCGGCCTGGTGTATATTGGTTCGGGTCTAGGCTACCCGGCTGGGTCTTGGGCTGGGGCTGGGTTAGGTTGGGCCTTTTTTATTTAAATTTTGTTATTTTTTAAAAATTAATTTAAGAAATGCTAGACAATAAAAATTCAATGCATATTTATTTGAGAATATATGAAGTACAATTGAGAATTGAGAATAATTTAAAACATTAAATACATTTGCTAGAAATCAATCGGAATCTCCGCCAGCGTCGGCTGTTGTTTCCTCCATGAAGTGGCAGGCGGGGGTAATGCAAATTTCTTGAGTTCTACGCCAACCGTTCAACCAATCATGGAAACAAATGAGTGTCTCAAGAGATTGTGCCCTAAATCTCGTTCTATAATGTGTTAGGACGTTGCCGGTTGCGCTAAATTCTTGTTCCACGGCTATTGTTGACATCGACATTGATAGTACTTGTTTCATTATATTTGATAAAATCGGGAACATTCCTTCTTTGTCCTTCCACTACTAAAGAATGTCAAAGTCATCCTCATCTTTATACTCAATAGGGAAGGTTAAACATAAAGAAAACTCGTTAATCAAGCTTTGTGCAACAGTGGGAGTTGATTTATTTATTTTCATAAGATTACCAAATGTAGATTTGAAAAATGATTTTTCTTTAGATGAAGAAGTTGGTTTTGGGGGAGGGGATGCATTACCATAATGTACATGAAACTCATTAAATAATTGATGAAATAAATCACTAACAAAGTAATGGACCGAAAAAAAGTATAAGAGTACTCTAAACAATTTTAATAAGCATTAAGTTTGAAATTAGGATCAAGAACACATGCAATACCATATAAAGGCAAAATATATGTATAACATGTTAAAAACTTTTCTGTAATGAAATCACAAAAATAATGAATGTAAGGGGCATTTTGAAATTCAGAATAAGCATCGGCGAGATTAACAACTTCAACGAAAAATAGGTTTGAAGTATGTTTATAAACATGACTAAAAGTTTGAGTTGCATTATTAAAATATACCAAAGCATTGCAATTTTTTTCCATTGTGTCGATCTCAATCGGTTCTATAATAAGTTAGCATATTCTTTAAAAAAAGATGGAAAATAGTCTTTAAATCCAATAAGTAACACATTTAAGTTATAAGTATTATTCCAACGAATAGACAAATCATTGGGAAAAGAATTAGCACATCTAGCTCTAAAAAATTCATGTCATTGCTTTTTAAGTTGATTATTACCTCAAATAAGTCTTATACCCCCCTTCACATTCTCCATCACATTTCCTAATGCGGTTAAACTGTCTTTTATTCATAAATTCAAAATATGACATGCACAATGCTGATGAAAAATCTACCCATCAAAGTAGAAAGACCACACAATTCACGCAATCTAGGAGCAACAACAGTATTATTACTGCGAGAGCTATATCTATGAGAGAGATGAAATATGGGCAGCGTAGGACAGTGTTTATTATTCTGGAGAACTAATCCCTTGATAAGAAATATACAGAAAGCATTTATAGACTCTAGGAGCTAGTATTCTAGTAGGAAACCGATACAATATATGCTATTCATTACATTCTAATCGAATAAGTCTCCTGTAACGTCTTGGACATTGTGCAATGATTGCTTCCTTAAAGTCCACGTTCTTCCGTTGAGTCCTACCTGTTGCCAGATAGCTATGCTCGAATGATAGCCTGTCACGTAATCCCTAGGAATATCTCGGCCTCACTAGAACTCCGCCCAGGCTCGAGGTTTGCTGTCCAGCCCGACCTGGTTGTGGGTTCTTATCGTGGACCCGATTCCTAATTAGGCCCAGTGGCTTATTATTTTAATCCCGTTTAGGGCTTGATCCCGTTCATTAGGCTAATCCCGTTGGGGGCTGATCCCGTTATGGGCTGGATTCCGTTATTGGGCCATGATCTGAGTCCATGGTACCATCACAAGCCCCCTACTCCTTAAAATTAGTAGGGCTGAATTTTAAAGGAGTAAAATGGAGCGGTTTTATTGAGTTATTCAAATTCGAATTTCCTCTGATGGCGCTGCTTGCATTTAATGCTGATAACACGTGCTGGTCCGCACAACTTCCAATCCCGTCGTCCCATCTTCGCACTCGAGTGCCTTGGAAGCGGTTCTGGATGGGTTTCCAAGTTAGGGTTTTGTTATAAAGGTAAATTTTATCTTCTTCGCAGATCTTCTCGCATTCGCACCTTTTGAACTTTAGCCAAGAAAGCTCCCCCCTTCGTTTCGTCCTCCTTTTCAGGTCAGTTTCCTCTATGTATCCATTTAGCTTCGTACCCCTTCATATCGTCTTCCCAGACGATGGGACTAGTTGTGATCGCCCCAAGATTTCGGTGGACTCAAGGGAGGGAGACTCACTTCTATCTCTCTACCGAGTTTGCTCGTGCAGTCCCGGCGTTCGCCATTTCCGATTCTGAATTTAGCACCGTTGTGGCCTTCGCTGGGCCCAGTGTGATTTGTACTCGCCCCACCCCCGGCCAGAACATTGTGGATTTGTCGTCCCCTTTTCACTTTGGGGTACACCTATCCAGCCTTGAAATGTGGCTTAGATCCCCCCCTCCATTCACTTATGCTGTATGTCTTGCTTCATTATAGTGTCATCCCTGGCCAGCTCACCCCTACCACACATCTTTTCATCGCCGGGTTCATAGCCCGGTGTATGTCCCTCGGAATTAGGCCAAACTTAGATCTGTTTTTGCACTTCTTCCACTCAGTCCGGTGTGGCGCCTCTGAAGCGGCCCAAGGATTTTTTGCAATCTTCCCTAAGGGCTGTCCACCGGCTGTTTAAGGCCAAATCCTACCAAGATTCTTTCAAGAACTGGAGGCAAAAATGGGTGTGGGTGACCCTAGCAGACGGTAAATTGCAGTTCGAAAATAAGTGGGGAGTGCTTATCCGGCGGCGGGTTGTGCCAATCTTGAATGAGAAGACCGAGCATGCTGCTAACCTCATCGTTGAGGGCTCGCCGTTCTGGATGGGCCACTATGTAGGTGAGGATGGGATTGTGATGCTTATGTTTCAGCCAGGTCGGCTTATGCCTGATTTGGTACTTGTTTTATCTTCCCCTTCCCTTTGTTTTGATAGCTGAGTTTCTGACTGTTTTGCTTTGTTTCAGAGGGTGAGAAGATGGCATCTAGCCTTGAACGGTTGGCTGCAAAGGCTGGCTCAAGGCCGGGGACCCTAGTCAGGAAGGTTCAAACCCGGGGTTCCACAGAGGTTGCCCCCGAGAAATCTGGTGGGGAGAAACGAGGAGACGCTGCTGCGACTCTTGCAACGCCGGCTGCAGACCTTCGGCCTCCCCTGACGAGGGTGATACTCGCTTGGCACTTGTACTAATCCCTTCGGGGGGGGGGGGGGCACCATTTTCAGGTTGAAGCTAAGGCTTGCTACCTGCACCTTTTTACGGGTGATATCAACTCAAGGAAGACGTGGTTCGTGCTTCCTTACTTTTTTTCAAACTACCAAACATTTGCTCATGGATATTTAACTTGTTATAAACTATTTTTGGGCTTGCATGCCCATGTCTTGGCCGGATGTGGCTTATGATTTACCGTTGAATATTTCCGTTATTCATTGGTTTAAATGTGATGTTGTTATGTATGTTTACTACTGAGTATGGATGAATTATTTTCTCGAACGCCTTGTATGATTAAGTGAGGTTGACTTGTGAGTGACGTCACTTGATTAGACGGCGGTTGTACACGCGGTTAGATGCGTTTGGGGCGTGACAACTCGATTATCACCCCCCACACGAAAGTCCCAACAATCGAATTGATATTTCTTTGTGATAATCATGAGTACCGTGCAAGAGATGACGTCCAAATTCAACGAATTGGACAAGTTTCAAGGGAATGATTTTTGTAGATGGCAAAAGAAGATGCACTTCCTTCTCACCACTTTGAAGGTTGTGTACGTGTTGAGCACTCCGATGCCGGAAGTGAAGGAAGATGAAACATTGGAACAAACTAGGAGGCATAACAAGTGGGAGAACGGTGACTACATATGTAGAGGCCACATTCTTAACAGTATGTCCGATGCGTTATTTGATATTTACCAAAACGTTGAGAGTGGGAAGGAATTGCGGAACTCTCTTGAATCAAAGTACACCGCCGAGGATGCTTCTAGTAAGAAGTTCTTGGTGAGTGATTGTAATAATTATAAAATGGTTGACTCAAGGCCGATTATGGAGCAATACAATGAACTCTTCTTGTTCTTGTTCAATTAAAACTCCACAAGATAAGTATTGATGAATCTTATGTCGTGTCGAGTATAATTGACAAACTTCCACCCACTTGGAAGGATTTTAAACATTCCTTAGAACATCAATATGAAGAATTGTCATTGGTTTAACTTGGGAGTCACTTGCACATTGAGGAGTCCCTTCGTGTGCAAGAGAATGACCAAATTATGGGTAAAGTTGAATCCGGACAGCCTCGTGTTCACTTGGTTGAGGATAAAAAAATCTAACCCAAACAATAAGGGGAAAGACAAGAAGCGCAAGTATGAAGACCATGACAAACCCAACAAGAAACGAAAAGTTTTGGTTTGTTGGAGATGTCAAAAGGTTGAGCATGTCAAGTGTGATTTCCGTATGAAACTGAACAAGAATGGCGCTGGAACAAGTGGGAGTGGACAATAACGGTCTTTGGACTTGGTTCCATCGAAAGGAGGCTAGTTCTTGACTAACTTTGATAATTTTGTCCGGAATTATGTATCACTCATTCCGGAATCTTTTTTTTTTTTTTTGGATAAACTGTAAATTATATATCCAAAGTGTTTATGTAGAACTGTGCAATAACAAAATCCCTACCGGTCATCCGAATTGGATGCCTTGTCACCCCACAAAAACCAACTAGCTACATGTACATGCTAGCCATCACAAAAAATTGGTGACGAATCAGCAAAAATCAAAATGTTATCATGTGGTACGGATATATGGAAAACAGTACTTTATAGACCATATACTTTATATGGTGTATAATATCTTCCACCTTGACCTTCGCCGCCTCAAAACATATAGAGTTCCTTGTTCTCCACATCCAATATATAGTGAAGCAAAAAGTTATCCTCACGGCTTTAGCTTTAATATGTGCGCCATTATGCTCCTTCTTTATCCACTTTACCGCGCTCCGCAACGTTGTCATTTGCCTTGTGATTCCAAGCCATGCCTTTATCCTTGTCCAAACCTGTCCTGTAATAATACATTCAAAGTATAGGTGTGACACCGTTTCCGGTTCACCCTTGCAAAAAGGACAAACGTTAATCACGTCAAGATATTCCAAGTTATCATAAGTGGCCAGCCTGTTACGAAAAGCTAGCCAAGCAATGAAAGAGAATTTGGGAGGTATATATGACTTCCATATGAAAGACATCCAAGGGTGCGGAGTTCCCTTTATCCTAAGTAGGTCATATACCTTAGACGATGATAGTCTCCCATCAATAGTTATCTTGCCGAGATAAACTAAAGCCTCATTGATAGAGGAGAATTTGGAGACAATCAGATCTCGGATCAAAGCAAACCTTTTCATCAACAGAGAGTCCCTATTGTGTGGAACAAATGTCCACACATCTCTCCCATGGAGATACACTCCATTAACCCATTTAACCCAAAGAGAGTCTTTTTTGGAATGAATGTTCCAAAGGGTTCGGGATAGGAGAGCATTATTCCACACCTTGGTATTTTTTAAGCCCAACCCCCCCTCATCTATAGGTAAACATACATCATCCCATGCAACTTTAGTATGTTTCCCACCCCAAAGAAAAATACGACATATGCCAGTAATTCGGTCCAGTATAGCTTTAGGAGCCGGAAAAATACCAAGCCAGAAGGACTGGACACCCTGCATAACTGACCTAATCAACTCCACTCTACCTGCATAGGATAGGGTCTTTGTGTTCCACGCATTTATATAATCTGTAACCGTGTCAAGCAGAGGAGCAAATTGTGCTACAGATATCTTTAAAGGTGCAAGTGGAATACCCAAATACTTTACAGGAAAGGATCCTTGTTGAAAGTCAACCATCTGGAGTATATAAGCAAGTTGGTTAGCTACATTTCCCCCTAAAAAGATATTGGATTTATCATGATTGACCGTAAGTCCCGAGACCAGGCCATAGTCATTTAGAGCTTCCACCAATATCTTAATAGAGGCGTAGTTACCTTTGGAAAATAACATCAAATCATCAGCATACGCCAAGTGTGAAATCTTTTGTTTAGAGCATAAAGGGTGGTGGCAAAAAGTAGGAACAGAGGTCCTAATGTCCAACATCCGTGAAAAATACTCTAAACATATAACAAATAACATGGGAGACATAGGATCTCCTTGCCTAAGCCCCCTCTTTCCCTCAAACCATCCATGGAGAACCCCATTTATGGATATAGAGAAAGAAGAAGTCGTGACGCATTCCATAATCCATTTGACAAATAAATCTGGTAAACCAATGTGTCTAAGTACTCTATCCAAAAAATCCCAAGAGACAGTATCATAAGCCTTTCTAAGATCAATTTTGATCATACACCTAGGGGTGACCCTTTTCCTAGCATATCCCCTCACTAACTCTTGTGCAAGGAAGATGTTGTCAGACATCAATCTTCCATCCACAAAAGCTCCCTGTGCAGGGTTGATAATACCTGAGAGACAAGGACCAAGCCTAGATGCAAGGATCTTAGTAATAATCTTATACGTCACATTTGTACAAGATATTGGCCTAAAATCAGAGACAGTAGGGGAGTGCTTTGTTTTTGGAATAAGGGCCACCACTGTGTGGTTAACCTGCCTAAGCAAAGTTCCAGATAGAAAGAACTCCTTAACTGCCTCACATACACCCTCACCCACAATATTCCAATTAGCTTTGAAAAAAGCAGATGAGTATCCATCGGGTCCCGGTGCTTTGTCACTACCAATATCAAACAAAGCTTGCCTAATTTCCAAATCAGTAATAGGACTGATAAGGTTAGCGGCAAGCATGGTATCAATGGTTTTACCCGAGGCCATTACTTCCGGGTCAAAATTTTGAGACGCAACCGAGGTGCCAAATAATCCTTTGAAGAAAGATACAAACTCAGTAGCTACTTGGTCCAAAGAATTGGTAAGACTTCCATCTTCCAATTTTATGGAAGCAATAGTATTTTGGGTTTGTTTCTTCTTTACAATGGAATGAAAGTATCTAGTACCTCTATCAGCTTGAATGAGATGTACAACCTTAGCTTTCTGTTTAAGATAAGCTTCCTCCGCTTCTTTAAAAAATAAGGCCCTCCTTTTCGCACCAGACAACTCATTTTTAAGGACATCATCTTGAGGAGATAAGAGAGCTAATTGATAGATTCTCTTATATTCCTTCTTTGCTTCCTTTGCCCTAGCCGTTATGTGACTGAATTCATTTTTATTGAGTTGTTTAAGGGGTTGCTTGAGTAGCTTAAGTTTTCGAGCTAGTCTAAACTGAGCCGTCCCAGCAACATTCCTACCCCAAACACTCTTCAAAATTCCATCAAATTGTTCATGTTTTAGCCACATATTGAAAAACTTAAAAGGCTTTGTACCCTCTCTATTTTCGGCCCCTATAGTCACAAGAGATGCAACATGATCAAACTCACACTCCATATCAAAGAAATGAGCTCTACATGTTACATTTTGTGTAGACCAAAAAGAATTTACTAGCACCCTGTCCAATTTAGCCCAAATTGCACCCCTATGCCAAGTAAAGAGTTCCCCAGTTGAGGGTGCATCATCAAGATTTGTTTGGATTTTCATATCATTAAGGTCTTTCATGGCATAGCCCGAGGGGGGGGGGGGGGCTGACCCACTCCTCTCACTTGGAGAGCCAACACAGTTGAAGTCCCCAAGTATAACCCATGGCCCCAAAATGTTAGTCCCAAGTAGAGAGATATGCTCCCAAAGCTCTCTTCTTTGGACAACCGTGTACAATGCATAAACAAAAGTGGCATAGAAAGTTATTTGCGTAGTATTACACCTAAACCTAGCATGCACATGTTGCTTATGAACCTGCAGAACAGTCCCATCAACAAAACAAGGATCCCAAATAATAGCCATCCTACCCCCATTAATTTTATCAAAGTTGGTAATAGACATCCAGGAATTAAATCTAACGTTTATGAAATTTTCAAATGTAGTAGTAGACATTTTAGTTTCAAGGAGGCAAAATATGCGTACCTTATTAACTCGTACAAAATTAACTATTGTGTTTTGTTTCGAGGCTTGATTAAGCCCCCTCACGTTCCAAGAGGCTATAAACATTAAAAATGTTTTTTCCTTCCCCCCCTCCTCTTTGGTGCACTGTTTCTTTCCCTTTGGTTTTGGATCCACTGTCGGTATGTGTCACAGCCTTGGTACCTATCAAGAAAAAGAGGATACACCTTATACATAAAGAGAGAAGAGAAGTCATACCCCTCATCCGTCTTAGTTGCTCCGGGAAGAGAGTCCAAGCAAGATGATGTGAATGTGATTCCCATCTTCTTAAAGTTCGGCTCAATGGCAAGGTAATTGTCCAGCCTTGTCATTTCCACCTCGACTTCTTCCCCATGCACCAATTGAAGTTTGTAGTCTCCATTCTCCTCAAATTCCACCTTTGTAATAACATCATCAAGGTATGCCTCTCTTATATCATCTACCACTCGGGTTGCTTTTTTGTTAATCTTTCTTGGGTCCAATACCTTACTTCCATTCCCCATAGGATGCCCATCCTCATAGTATCTCATTAGGTAGTGTCTATAGACATGTTTCATAAACACATCCGAGAACACATATTGTTCATTTTCCTTTTTAACACCCGGCAGGCCTTCCAAACATGTAGTTGTAAACCATATTCCAGGAGCATTATGATTTACAGCCCTCAAGTGGTGGTTAAGCCTAATGGTAGGCTCGGTTATATCATCAAGATGCATGACTTTGATTGTAGGTGTAAGCACTTCATCCGTTTCCATGCTAACTATTGCCTCATCATCAAAGAAATCTTTAAAAGACCTTATCCTCCTTGGTTGGTCTTCTTCCTCTTCATGTTTAGGTTGCACTTGTTTCGGTATCCTTACCTTGCTTTGTGTTCGACACTTCTTCCTGAATCTAGTCACCTTTAGGAAAGGGTGAGTTTCCCTATTTTTTGTTTTAGTCCTAGTGGCTGCAACATCTGATTTCACTCCATGACCCACCCCTTTTAAAGCCTCAGCATTCCTTCTCAAAGCAGTGGCATCCTCTTGTAAAACTGCATCCTCCTTCACTGTAGTCTCGGGTCCCCTGCCCTCCAAAACCGCAGCTTGAGTGATTTCCTTAACTGTGTCATCCCTAGGTAGCTTAGGTTGAGGTTCACCTTCCTCCATTGCCTTCTTTCTAGCCTCTCTTTCCCTTTGTTCCATGTCGGCTATGACCTTGCAAGTGAAGCAATGGTGTCCATAGGTCTTACATTGGAAACAATAGTTTGGGTAAGTTTCATATATCATTTTTTGTATATGAAATTTCCCATTGGGCATTTTGACCTTCATCCGTAGGGGAGGAGGCTTAGAAGCATCCACCTCAATTAGTACTCTAGCAAAGTTAGATCTTGCCTTTTCTTGTGTAATTCTATCAGTGGTAAGAGGGACTCCCACCCTAGAAGCAATCTCACTAATTATCTCCTCATCCCACACTTGCATTGGTAGATATGGAAACTTCACCCAAATAGGTACTTTCAAAAACTCCTCACTATTGAAAGAGAAGTCCTCCGAAAGTGTTTTCAAATAAAGAGACTTTCCAAAGAGTGAGTAAGGTCCCTCCATTAGCACTTTTGATCTAGCTTCCTCGCTTTTAAATCTAAATATAACCCATCCTTGATCGTGTTGCCTAATATGGCATTGAACACCCCACTTTGCAACCAGTTCTTGGATGGGTTTCATCCCGGGGAATCTTCCCGCAAAATAGCCCACCAAGCAGAAGCCCCATAGGTCTATTATAGATGGCATTATCCTATTTGAAAGATCAATGTAGTCCCCAACCGGTTCAATATACCTCAACTTCATGCCTTTAGATGGTTCCCTATTGTCCTTGAATAGAGAAGCCCATGGAGCAGTCCACGGCTTAATCTTTGGGATTACCTCCAATGCATCAGAAGAGGATGTCTCGGGCACAATTGGTTTATCCTTCTGTTTTGCCTCAGGCTTGTTGGTGACTTCATCTATAGGCTTATCAGAAGAGGATGTCTCAGGTACAATAGGTATATCATTTTTCAAAGAAGTTATGGGTTCAACAAAAGGTGTATTCTCCTCCTCTCCTTCAGTTTCCACAAGAGGTTCATCATTTGCCTTCATTTCTACCAACTGTGCACCAGCTGGTTTTTTTCCTTCCTCTTCTACAAATTGGGTCTTTGATCCCCTGCCTTTGTCATGGTCTTCGATTCTAGGTACCTTGTCATCATTTATGTGTTCACTTCCCATAGATGTGAGCTCCTCCTCATTGCCTTGGGTTGAAGAGGCCTCAACCGAAGGTTGATAATCTGTATCCCCTTGGCTAGACAAGACCTCATCCTTGTCAATAGTGGTATCATCCATAGTCATCTCCAGACCTTTAGCAAGGTCCCTATTTCTGAGCCTTACTGAAGTTTTTGTAGCTTTAGGAGTCTCCTTTAGCTTCCCGGTTCTTGTACCCGTCTTCCCCATTGGTAGGGATGGTGAATAGTAACTTTTCCCCAAAATATCTCAGACGAGGAAGAAAGATATATGCAGAGGTACGCCTAGGTGAGGCGACCCCCCATTATACTACGTAGTCCTCCTCCAAGTCTTTGAGATTTGTAAATCTTCCTTCTTTCAAAAGACAACTCCTCCAAGGAAGACTGCTCTCCAAAATTACTCGTATGAATAGTGACAAGCACGACTTTAGGCGATGGGGAGGGGAGGGAGGTAGGATATCCAAATTATTACCCGTCCAGAAGATGAAAGAGTAATAGAGGAGATATCTTAGCTCCGGTAGGCGGTGATGGAGTGGTGGCGGTCGGTGGTAATCGGCGTGAAAGAGAGGAAGATGACCGTTGGTGGCCAAATTCCTTGAGAGATTAGCTCTCAACTTTCACTCCTATTCCGGAATCTTTTTATGTACAGGATGATGATTGTGCATGGTGGATTGACTCGGGGGCTATGAGCCATGTGTGTAAGGATAAAGGATGGGTTGAAGACCTAGAACTAGTAGAATTCAGTTCTTTCTTACACATGGGAGACGAGTCAATGGCACCAATCTTGGGAAATTAAAGGGTGTTGTTGTTTTAGAATTTACTTATGGAAAAACAATTACTCCCTCCGTCCCATTTCTATTGTCCCGTTTTACCTTTTCGGAAAGTCCCACTTAAATTGTCTCATACCATATTTAGCAAAGTTTGTGTGGCTCTAAATCATTCTTACTTTATTCTTACTTTATCAATTAATATCAACCACACAAACTCACTTGTCTTAATAACTGTGTCACCCTCTTCCGTCCCAATATAAATGGGACGGAGGTAGTACGTTATTTGATGTTTTGTATGTACCGAAGGTTCGAAAGAATCTTGTTTCGGGAAGTATGTTGAAAAATTTAGGGTTCAAACAAGTGATTGAATCCGATAAATATATTCTGTCCAAGCATGGTGTGTTTGTTGGTTTTGGATATTATCAAATCGCATGTTTCGTTTGAATGTTGTGAATAAATTAATTTCTAGTGATAATTTTGTTTTTGTGGCATCTCTCATGAATGATTGTATGATTTGGCATGCTAGATTAGCTCACTTTAATTTTAGAAAAATGCATGAAATGTCAAAAGATGGTTTAATTCCAGTTTTTGATATTAGTAATGATAAATGTAGGACTTGCATGCTTACTAAGATCACAAAACAACCGTTTCTTAATATTGAAAGGAATTCGGCTATTTTAGATCTTATGCATAGTGATCTATGTAATTTTCACTCGACTCTTTCCCTTTGGCAATAAGTATGTTGTTACTTTTATTGATGATTCAATTCGGTTTTGTTATGTGTATTTATTACACACTAAGGATGAAGCTTTAGAGAAATTTAAAGCATACAAAATTGAGGTTGAATTGCAATTGGACAATCCAATTAGATATCTTAGAACTGATCGGGGAGGAGAATATATGGATTCTCATCATTTTCAATCTGTTGGAATCATTCACGAGACCACGGCTCCGTATACACCACAACAAAATGGTGTGGCCGAACGGAGAAATCGAATTTTAAAGGAAATGGTTAACTCCATGCTTTCTTACTTGGGTTTGATTGAAGGGTTTTGGGGAGAGGCCATGATCACGATCTGCTATGTTTTAAATAGGGTTCCAAATAAAAGGAACAAGACAACCCCATATGAGCTTTGGTACAAAAAGGCACCAAATTTGAAATATTTTCGGTTTGGGGTTGTCGGGCGGTTGTAAAATTGCTCGAGCCCGAAAGGAAAACTTTGGGGGAAATGGGAATTGATTGAATATTCATAGGATATGCTGAAAATTCCAAGGCTTATAGATTTTATGTAATACAACTCAACGACGCGGTAGCGGTTAACTACACCGTGATTGAGTCTCGGGATGCAATTTCTGATGAAATGAGATTTTCATCAATTCAAAGGATCACATCTGTCACTTAACTCATATGGAACATGTAATCCTCACTTAACGTGTGTGTGTTCTCCTTATCCTTTTTATTCTATCATTTTTATTTATATCCTATCTCTATTTATATTACCTTTTTTATCATAGCTTATCTTTTTTATATTATGTATCAATTCATGTTAGTCGACTCCTAAATTTTTTTAGACTTAGGCTTGGATGTTGTGACCTTTCTTAGCATGAATGTGTCACCCAGATGGCAAGTTAAGCCCCAAGTGATGATTAAATCACTATTATTCTTGTAAATATGATCTTGGTAGAGTGATAAGTGCAGGATGATTTGTCGAATACTCATAATTATAGGATAAGATGGATAAAGAAGGGTGTTGCATGTTTAGTATGTCATTGAATTGATTTCGTAAGTCCATCCATGACTATATCAAATAAGAAAGGACTCGGAGCGCATCCTTGGTGCACTCTTATAGTGATAGGAAACTTTGCAGTTCTCCCTGCACTAGTACGAACACTTGTACAAGCCTCATACATATCCATGATGATACTGATATACTTACATGATGTGCCTTTTCTAGTTAAGGCCCACAAAAGACTTCTTGAGATACCATATCATATGTCTTTTCTAAGTCAATGAACACCACATACAGATCTTTGTTAGCATCTCTATACTTCTATTCAACTTGTCTAAGAAGGTGAATGACCTCAATTACGTTGTTGAGCGTTCAGGCATAAAACCAAAACGATTCTCCGAAATTTTCACACTTTTTCAGAATCTTTGTTCAACCATTCGTTCCTAAAGTTTCAAGGTGTGACTCATAAGCTTAATCCCTTGATAGTTGACACATTCTTGTACATCACTCACTTTATTGTTGTTTCTCCAAATCATGTTGAAGAAACGTGTTACCCGCTCGATGCATGTTTCTCGGTTTCTCTCAAACGTGTCACTGCTTTGTTCCATCACATCTTTCTTAGAGCCTCTTTAACTTCTGTCATTTGGATCATTCTCACAAAATCCCGATTTATCATACAATCTGGTATAGTAAGATCATTAGTACCTTACACTTTATTCCCATTGAACAAGGTATCAAATTATGACTTCAACCTCTCTTTTATTTCCTTGTCCTCCATTAGTACACTTTGATCGACATCATTTACACACTTAACTTTTTTGATATTTTGAGTCATGTGAGATCACGAAGGCGACCAAGTTTGCAAATACCCTTCACTCCTTCCTTGGAGTCCAAATTTACATGCAATTCGTTGTTCACTTTCCATGTTGCTTCATTTACAGCTTTCTTTGCTTTTCTTTAAACCTCCTTGTACTCCTCTATGTTCTCATCATTCCAACTTTGGCCCACTTCTTGTAGCATTTCCGTTTGTTTACATGCAACTCCCTTTTGGTCATTCCATCAAGACATGTCCTTTTTTTATGGAAGACATTTTCTAAATTCTCCGAATACCTCCTTGGTCGCTTTGTTAATTGTCAACTGCATTGGTAACCTCATATCATCCACATGTGCATCATTATCAATACACAATACATCTCCTCCAACATTTTGTGTGTATAACTTTGTTGGAGACCCCTCGAGCCTCCACCACTTTATGTTTGGTTCCACTCGTATCTTAACTCATCTACTCTTCTTACCTTGAAAATCAAGCACAAACATCATATGTGGAGTGACAGAGATATTTTCCTGTTTTCTACTTCTGTTTTTCGTTCTCCAGTTTTCTAGTCTTTATTTTTCAGTTTTTCTATCTCCAATTTTTCGTTTCTATTGGAGATAATATTTTTCTATTTTTTAGTTTTCCATTTTCAAATATGAAAACATGTTCATCATTTTTTTCACCCAGTTATCCAATTTCACACCCTTGACCTCTACCCCTACCCTTACCACGATCTTACACTCTACCCATACTCCCCCACAACCCTTCATACCCACCCATACAAACTCGTAGGGGTCGGGGTAGGGAAGTTATGGGTGGGGGGTGGCGTAAGGGGTATGGTCGGGGTGGGGTGGTAAGGTCTAGGGTTAGGGGGTTGGGTGGGGGTAATGGGTGGGTTAGGGGTAAGGGTGGGGTAGTGGGTAGGGTTGGGGTAAGGTAGGGGTAGGGTAGGTAGTTGGGATAGGATGGCGGTAAGGTGGGGCCGGGACCAGGGTGGGGCCGAGGTAGGGAAGGGGTAGGGTGGGGGGTAGGATGGCGATTAGGGTGGGGGTAGTGGGTAGGGTTGGGGTTGGGGTAAGGTAGGGGTTGGGTAGGGAGTTGGGATAGGATGGCGGTAGGGTGGGCCTGGGCGGGAACTGGGTGGGGCCAAGGTAGGGGAAGGGTAGGGTGGGGGTAGGATGGTGGTGGGGGTAGGATGGCGGAAGGGTGAGGCGGTGGGGGTAAGATGGCAGAAGGGTGAGGCGGTGGGGTGGGGCCGAGGTAGGGGGCATGTGGTAAGGGGTAAGGGGTAATATACAGGTGGGAGTAGGGTAGGGTGGGTCAGGTGGGGGTCGAGGTGGTAGGGGGGTGGCGGTAAGGTGGATTGGGGTGGGGCCGAGGTAGGGACATGTGGTAGTGGGGTGGGGTAGGGTCATTATAATGAAAAATGGGTACGCGGGGTGGGGTTGGGTGAGTATGGTAGGGTAGGGTAGGGGTAAGGTACAAGGATGAAGGTACTGGAATGAAATCGACATCGGAGCGAGACCGGACCCACCACTAGGTGTAAGTATGCAAATTCATTGCAGCGGCACTGTAGCATCTGCGTTTTCCAAATCATTAAGGAAAAGAGAGACATGTCTCATTTTTTCCGTTTTGGAAAACGATTTGGTAAATGCGTTTTTCTTTTTCCCTTTCTCCAGTTTTCCAGCAATTTCTTTGGTAAACACGTTTCCTGTTTTCCAGTTTTCTGGAAAACTGGAAAATATCTCTGTTAGTAAACAGGTCCTAAATTTTTTTAGCACATTCAATGAGATCCAAATTTTCTACACCTAAATATCTCATAATAACAACAAAAAAATCTTATAACTCGATAATAAACCTCAATATGCATATTATAAAATTTTAAAAATAAATTGAAGACTTCGCTAGATTGAACTCGGTATTTTTAATTAGGGAAAACTATCAAATAAGCCCTCATACTATACCGAAAAAGTCGATTAGGCCCTCATTTTTTTAAACAATCAATTAAGCCCTCGAACTATTAAAAAACGTTCAATTAAGCCCTTTCGGTCGGTAAGTAACCAGTTTCCCGATTAAATGTAACTTGTTTCCCGACGGCCGCCGTTGCTGGGGTTCGAGCACATCGTCGCCGTCGTCACCGTTTAACCGGGAAACCGGTTACTTACTGACCGAAAGGGCTTAATTGAACGTTTTTTAATAGTTCGAGGACTTCATTGAGTGTTTGTAAAGTACGAGGGCCTAATTGATTTTTTCGGCATAATACAGGGGCTTATTTGATAGTTTTTCCTTTTAATTATTAAGCTTGTTAAGCCTCGATTGGGCTCAGAAAAAGTTCAGTTCAGCTTCCATGTTTACAGCCGTCCTTGGAATTTAGAAAACAAAACTACTTTGCTCACCCTCTATTTATTTATTTATTTATTTATTTATTTATTTATTTATTTATTTATTTATTTATTTATTTATTTATTTATTTATTTATTTATTTATTTATTTATTTATTTATTTATTTATTTATTTATTTATTTATTTATTTATTTATTTATTTATTTATTTATTTATTTATTTATTTATTTATTTATTTATTTATTTATTTATTTATTTATTTATTTATTTATTTATTTATTTATTTATTTATTTATTTATTTATTTATTTATTTATTTATTTATTTATTTATTTATTTATTTATTTATTTATTTATTTATTTATTTATTTATTTATTTATTTATTTATTTATTTATTTATTTATTTATTTATTTATTTATTTATTTATTTATTTATTCCCACTAGGCTTGGCCCGGGTCTAGTCCGACCGGCCCAGGAACCGGACCGGGCCGCCACTGTGCGGGACCAGCCCGGCTGGTCCGGGCCCGGTCCTGGCTTTTTAATTTTTTTTTTTTTTTTTTGTTTTTTTGGGTTTGGGCTGGGTTTAGGTGGGCTGAGCCGGGTGTTTTCGAGGGGTTTGGGGATGGGGGGGAGGGGGGTTGGAATAAATAAGATTAACAAAAAAAAAATTAAAGAACCGGCCCGGTCCGGGCCCGGTAGACTCCCGAGCCGGTGCCGAGCTTCACCCCAGAAATCCAAAGCCCGCCTGGACCCGACCCGGAACTGGACCGGGCCCGGTCCATGCCTAATTCCCACTACCTTTTCTGCTGAACTTCACTAATAGACTAATAGTCTGAGAAGTTCCAAAATGAGAAACTATAACCAAAATAATACTTGATAAAAACAAGTACCAATATTTCTGAAACAATTAACAGCGATTTAAAAAAAACTGTCAAATAAAGTGAAACAGTGCTTTGAGCAGGGTTGAGTGGTCGACTACCAGCTCTGGCAAACAGAACTAAAGAGATCTCAACTCAAGAATCAGTACAAGTATTTTTGGTCACATTAGAAACACACTCACATTCGATTCCGTTGACTATGGATGCCGGCATGAAACCCATCGGTGTATGCAGTGTTCTTGAACATTGTCTGCAACAGATTTGAGTTAGAATGTCATGCCACAGGAAAGTGAGATGGATGAGGATGATAATGGGAGCGAGGGCCCACGGGGGAAGGTTGGGGTGGGTGACGAGGATTGCTATACTCACCTCACCGCCGCCTCAATCCCCCACTATATATACATATTATATACACACAAACATATATGTGTGTTATATGTATACCAACATGGAGAATGATCAAGTAAAGTAGGACTAAGATGCACGACCTTATGCATATTTCATTTTTAGCAATTTAATGGTGCTCATTAGTACTCCCTCCGTCCCGGAAACAAGTTCCCGGATTGACTTTCACACATTTTAAAGAAATATAAAGTTACCGAGGGGTAAATTTTACTGTTTGGCACTGTTTCGACACTGTTTGGCTCTGTTTTGATGTAGGATAACTTTCCATTTAGGGAAATGGGAAGTTTGTTTTGGGACATCCAAATAAGGAAAGTGGGAACTTGTCTCCGGGACGGAGGTAGTATTAACTATTAATTTTAGCCGTTAGATTTAAATTTTGCAAAAAAAATAGACACCTCATACTCATTCTTTCACTTTCAACACTGATCTAACGATTAAAATTAATTCATTATTAAAAATAGATTTTTCTTTAGTTAAACTTAATTTTTAACAGTATCTAATGGTTAAAGCCAATATTAGATATGAATAAGTAAAGAAATTGGAATCAATTAATTCATCTTCGGCCTAAAATGAAAGAAAGAGCCAGAGATTATTCACCTTAGGCTTACCTGACTTGATTGTTTTCCTACATACATACATACATACATACATACATACATACATACATACATACATACATACATACATACATACATACATACATACATACATACATACATACATACATACATACATACATACATACATACATACATACATACATACATACATACATACATACATACATACATACATACATACATACATACATACATACATACATACATACATACATACATACATACATACATACATACATACATACATACATACATACATACATACATACATACATACATACATACATACATACATACATACATACATACATACATACATACATACATACATACATACATACATACATACATACATACATACATACATACATACATACATACATACATACATACATACATACATACATACATACATACATACATACATACATACATACATACATACATACATACATACATACATACATACATACATACATACATACATACATACATACATACATACATACATACATACATACATACATACATACATACATACATACATACATACATACATACATACATACATACATACATACATACATACATACATACATACATACATACATACATACATACATACATACATACATACATACATACATACATACATACATACATACATACATACATACATACATACATACATACATACATACATACATACATACATACATACATACATACATACATACATACATACATACATACATACATACATACATACATACATACATACATACATACATACATACATACATACATACATACATACATACATACATACATACATACATACATACATATATATAAAACATATACATATATGAGTGGCATAAAAAATGAGTGGCATTCCTGTCAGGAAGACTTGACCACAACTGCTGTCTGGCCAAGCCCGTTTGATGGGCTTCCTGGTTGGATTCTTTGATGAAATTTTGCGAGCATGTTCTTCTTGAAGTGTAGATTATTTTCACAAAATTTCAGCTTCAAATTCGATTGGGAAGTCAGTTAAATAAATTATTGAAAAAAACTGCGCTTTATATAATTTATTTAACCGACTTCCCGATCGAATTTGAAGCTGAAATTTTGTGAAAATAATCTACACTTCAAGAAGAACATGCTCGCAAAATTTCATCAAAGAATCCAACCAAGAAGCCCATCAAACGGGCTTGGCCAGACAGCGGTTGCGGTCAGGCCATCCTGACAGGAACGCCACTCTACATATATACTATACTCCCCCTCTGTCCCGAAATAATTGTCTTGTTTTCCTTTTTGGGATGTCCTTGCAAAATTGTCTTATTTCCTATTTTGGCAATAATATGTGGCTCATATCAACTCACTTTTTTCTACTCAAATCTCAACCACAACCTTTACCTTTTCAACCACTTTCTTAAAACTTGTGCTAAAGCAAATAAGACAATTATTTTGCGACGGAGGGAGTATATATATCATTGAGAAAAGTAAAAAAATTGATATATGTGGTAGATATATGTGGTTGCACTCTCAAATTGCTTCTGATCAGCATTGTTTCAGGATAATTCACTCATTGTACAATGCAGTCAAGAATTTAAGAGCTGCACTCTCATTAGAACTTGGACAACATTATGCCAAATATGCAGATCCTACCCACTCAAGATTTAAAAAATTCTAAAGCGAAGTACTCACAGCAATGTTTTGCATTTGAGCTCTAAGGTGCCTCTTGATTTTGTTTGAAACTATATAACCAAGTTGGTCACCATACTGGTTGATATTCTCATTGTTGACCTATGTGTTCAAAAATTCATAATTATCACAGATAAACCCAAGAGCTAATAATTATGGGAGAAGAATCTCTCCTTACCTCACAAAGAACTACATTCGACACCTTTCCAAGGATTTCTTCAACGAATTTGTCGGGATCAATAAAGGTAGGTGCAGAGCCCAAAGAATTTTTCGAAGTATCTTTCTTTGAATTATTGGCTGCCTTGGCAGTTTTTGCTACAATAAGAGAGAGAGTAAATGACCACAAGAGAAGAGCATCCGGCATAAAATAAAACAATGTTACTAAGCCCAGTTTTTGTTTGTATGAATTTATAGTGTTAACTGTTCTTTTGAAAAATACTTGACACTACATGCTTCATGACATGCCCCAACTAGTTGGGATTAAGGGTGCAGGTGATGATACTGATGATGATCACTTGACCCTTTCCTCTTTTCACTCATTAAGTATTTTCCCATGCAGATTTTATCTTTGCAATTTGAATAGCTTGACTTAACATGGAGTTTGTCCATGTGGTACATGCATAGAAATATGTACATTGGAGTTTTTACTCATAAAAAAGACTTCTTTAACATATGCAAATATCATTATTGCGTCAATAGAAATACGTACATTGGAGTTTTTACTCATAAAAAAGACTTCTTTAATTGCGTCAATAGAAATACGTACATTGGAGTTTTTACTCATAAAAAGACTTTTTTAACATATGCAAATATCATTATTACTTATTAGACCATGGGGTCATTGATGAAGATAAATGGGATCACAGCACCTTTAACTTCTGGTTTTATATCGGCAGCAACATGATCCTTCTTCTCAGGAACCACTGAGGTAGCTGACTTCTCCATATTATCAGGCAGTGTCAGGACATCAGATGGAACAACATAAGCAAGATCAGGAGGTTGATCCTTCCCAACTGGTGGATTATCCTACAACAAGATACTTTTCAATAAACACTAATTTAGTAGAAAATGCACTCGGGCTTTGCCAACCCTCACCTCCAGATCAACATAGTTTGATGGCTTTCCAATTGAACTCAGAAACTTATCAAGACCACTTGTGTTAATAGCTGTAGACAACAGTGTGAACAAATATATCATTAGAATGGTTCTTTCTCAAATACGTGGTCTTTCTTTTGAAAGAACCGCACATCAAAAGGATACTTTAATGCCGAATTGTGGGTAATTAAGTAAATGTGTTTTCTTTCTCACATGTAGGAATGTAGGATGTTTTCTTTTGGACTATTTTCAGTCCCAGACCAAACCAGTTCAGATCAGACCAGACTTTCCATAGTTATAAAATACACAGAGACCAGACATTTACCAGACCAAACCAGATCAGACCAGCAAATTTCAGTCCAAAAGAAAACATCCGTAATACCAAAATAAATCAGGTCAAGAATAAAAATCAATTTTGATGTTAACTGCATTTCAACCAAAAAAAATTCTTTTTGAAATATAAGATTGTGGCCTTCTCAAGAAACTATAGAAAAATTTTAGATTTCTGGAAAGTGCTTAAAAGTTAGAGCATAGAAAAATGCCTAAATTCAGCACATGAGGTACCATACTCTAAAGTAGTGAGCACCATTGATGCCTAGGAATACATGTCATGTGTTATATCTAATAAACAGTTATTATATTATTGTACACTAATACATGCACTGCAAACCTGCCTTTGGAATTTCTTAGTTGTTTTTTCGTGATTATAATGTAACTCCTGCCTGAATCCTTAAATAAGAATGCTTTTCTCTTTTACTTTTGAGTAAACGACAACTCCGGATGAACTAAAAATTAGTTAAGAATACTCGTGCAAAAAGTAGTGGCAGCATTTTACACTGCAATTCAAGAGTTCCAGGCGTAACTTCCTCACAAATAGATGAAGATGTGAGGTTCCGAAACCGTCATGATCATAGGTTATTGTAAAAAAGTCACGTTAAACCTCCATAGCTGTCATGGCTTATGGCGACAGTCATGGCACCAACACATCTATGAGATGGCACATTTATGACGTGACCACATGACACAATATTCTCCGTATTGAAATGTTTGCTACAATAGGGTTTGACACAATGTTTAAGGGAAAAGTAGTAGGGATAATGAATAGTGTAGAAAAAGTAGGAGATAGAGTGGAAAAGTATGAAAGAGAAGATAAAAGGTAGAAAAAGTAAGGGACTAATGGTAGTTGAGTATTTTTAAGGGGAAAACTTACCAAAAAAGGAAAATGTAGCAAAAATTAAAATACATTCCAAAAAGCAAAATGTGTTCCAAACATTTCAATACGGAGAGTACAATGAACTACAAACACTATAAATCCATAACTCAACCACCAAAAATGAACAAGAGACTTAAATAACCACATTCTAACCAAAATATGTTAAGTTAAAATCATTTAAAGTAGTTCGGTAGTTCCAAAAATAACTTAATATAAAAAAATAACCACATTCTACAGTTGATGTTTTATACAGAAGTGAGTAAGTTAGTTAGTTAGTATACTTGAAGGGAAAGCAGATACAGTGTGTTTGAAGTTCGCTTTAAAGTTTATTTTGTGTTTATACTTTATACAGAAGTCAAAGCAGGCACTAAAGTTTTTTTTTTTAAGTTTATCTTTTGTATAGTTTCATACTTGTGCGTCTTTGCTGGCTCTAGCTTTACGTTAGCTGGTCTCTATTTACTTGGGTCGTTACGGTTTTGTATGCTGGTCTCTATTTACTTGGGTCGTTACGGTTTTGTATGTATATTATGGACAGGCTGAGTGGATAATTAGTGATCAGGGTCAAAGCCCAAAAATAATGAAATGAACATGTTAAAATCTGCACCCAAAAAATGGCGCACGGGCGTGGCGATGGAGATGGCGCCACCACATGTGCAATCATTGCCAAGACTCTTTTGTGGTGAGGGCTCTTCATATTGCCATATGGCGCATTATGGCGTGCGCCATTGACAGCTATGAAAACCTCTGACCTCACAATTAGAAATTAGAAATGCTCCAAAAATCAAAATCAGTTGAAAAAAAAAGGACCTAATTATCATACCTGCATCAGCTTTTTAAAATATGCATGACATTGTTAGTAGAAAAAAAATCAGCACACACTGTAGCATTCATAGTGATAAACTGATTTTTAACTATTTAATTTTTGGGTGAAGGGTTAGACTTTATATGAGAATATGTGCTTTGACTGGGCACAATTGAGAGCATTAATCCATACAGCCATCTCCAAATAGTAGGATAAAGGCTTAGTCTGTCGTTGTTGATGTAATTTCTAAATGGAAGAACTGAACCTAAGAGCTCCTAGTTACAACCCACCTGGCCTTATCATCCAGCCAAACCCATTTTCCAGAAGTAATCCATTAATGCAACAACAGCCAACCCTTTAGTCCAAAATAAATGAGGTTGGCTACGTGAAAGAATGAAAACCTCCCGAAGTCATCCACCAAAGTCCTCATTCTGCACATTTTTGGGTCACGTAACATATTTTCATCAAGACCGGATGCTCTAAAGTCCACTTTATGCATTGATGGAGTTAGCTGTAAGCTTAAACATCACATCACTTGGTTTCTGAACTACAAGCAATGTTTGTAATTGCACATGCTTTTACAGGTTATGCCTTGATGCCCGCCTCGACGATTTTTGGGGCAAGTATGCTCTAAGTCGACTCCCATAGTACGCATTCTTGAGGCTTACGCCTTTTGGGCTGAGGCGTATGCAGTGAGGCGGGATTCAGGCGTACGCCGTACGCAATTGCATTTTCAGGTTATAATTAATCAAGATGTGCTCACTTCAAAAAAACCAATTCATTTTCTTTTAAAACCCCTCCGGCCCTTCACTTCTCTTCTTCTATAATCACCTTCCGCAATTTCAACAACTCCCCTTTGGCAGCTCCTCATTCTCTTTATGTTGATTTCTACATATTTGTTAACTTTTCCCATTCATAACACATGATGGCAGTATATAAACACATCAACATGATTTGATTATGTGAATAATCTTCTCTTCTGCAAGGTGTTTTTCCTGCTAATATTTCCCAATAAATAACTGGATGTAGATGTTAATGGTAAAAGTAGAAAAAATTGTAATAGAATTGATGTTGGACTTTGATACCTATTTCGAACCACTAGATATATGTGACCCTATTTTTCATTTCTCAAACTAATAAACTTTCAACTTTAATGGGGGGTTGATAGTATGTGGCTATTTATTTGATATTTGAGCATACTGTTTAGATGGGGTTGTGATATTACTATTGTTCATCTTGACTAGAAATATGTTGAATTTTATTGATTATTTTATTATATTATTTAAATTGATTTTTTAATATTATTTATAATATATACTACCTACGTCCCGGCTTAAGCTTCTCATTGAGAAATGGCACGGTTTTTTAGACTGTACTTAAATGAGGTGTTATTCGAGTATATTTTGAGAAGTAATTTTGATGGGTATATAATATAATGAGGTCATTGGTGATAACTGTGATGTTATAAGTATATATTTAATGATTAATTTGTCATTTAAGAGTGGTAATTATTTCCTAAAATAGAAATGAGAGCCTTTATAGCTGAAACATCCAAAAGAGGTAAGTGAGAAGCTTAAGATGGGACGGAGGGAGTATTTTTTAAATTTATATTAAGAACGGAGGCTTACACCTCATTGCGCAATATAAGATCCCTACAAACCGCCTCAGTTAGAAATACGCTATTCCGAACATTGACTGTGGGGTGATGATGGAAATGGAATTGGAAACATGTAATTTTCTATGAGGACTATTACATGACTCGTAAGTTGTTATTTGTTAATCACATTAATGATTACCCTAAAGATCGCAAAATAGGGTACAATACACATACTTTTTCAAAGTACCACAAAATATATTTATCAAACACCCACACATTGACTCGCTTATTATATGTAGTTTCTGAATTCTAAACATGGTCATTTACCAATGGTCACGTCATTAGATAGTGGGTGGAAGAAGCATCGCTCCTTTATTCTCAGCCCTTGGTCTAATAATAAAGAGACACCCCTAAACAATGAAAAGAAATCCCATTAGAATACTTTATATGATAGGGACCTTGACAGTCAATAATAATAAGAATAATAGAATAATTATAAATGGTGTGATTGAGGGTTCTGTGCCATGTAATTTAGGAAGTGCGGGCCGGCTGCTAAGATAATAATAGTACAAGAAGGGAAACGAGGGAAGGAAAAAGTAGGCAGGAATTCAGTTGGATTTAGGAAGTGCGGGCCGGCTCTTTTCAGTTTTCAACAATTTCTATCTTAATGTACACCAATTTACCGTCATATTTTAGAGTCTCTATCATTGGTATCAGAGCTTCAACGATCACTGCAGAGAGAAAGGAATTTTTACGTATCGCCAATGGAGAAAAGCATGGACAGTATCAAACGCTACCTGGGGGAGATGAGAACTACACTGGGTGAGTCGCTGAACGGGATGCGCGACTTGTTGCTTCAACTACGTCGCAGGCTACATAGAGGACGATCGAGGACCGTTAGGCGTTGTCGGAATTATAGAAGCAGAGGTTCATCATTGTCTCTGGCAGCTTCTCCTAGTTTGCCATTGCTAGCCATTTCTACCAGCTTGCAATCGCTATCCAAGACTCCCGGTTCGCAGCAGGAGTCTGTTAATCAGTGCCAACCTCCCTCTGAAAATTCCGAATTGCGCAATCCTGGCACTCCTGACCGACAGAAAGGAAATCTTACAGATAACACTGGTGCTACCTTGGAACTGATCAACAATGTCACAGGGGCTGAAAAAGAGGGTCAGTCTCTCCAACGTATCCTTATCTATGCTGATCAGAGGTTTGCTAGTGCACTAGAACGAAAACCAGAAGATATTAAATCTGTGATTGATAGAGATCATGAACTTGGATGGGTTGTTGTAAGAAACAGTGTGCAGAACCCATCATCAAACAATACTTTGGATGGGCTGAACAAGTTTAAGGGTATAGATAGTTGCTATTTACACCAATGTTTAAAAACCCGACCCGGAATCGGGCGACCCGTTCATTTCTCCGGACCGGTATGTGTGGAAAACCGGAATACATTGAAAACCGGAGAAGCGGTCAAAACTCAGTCAGAACTCGGTTAAACCGTTAAACCGGTCAACCCCGGTAACACCGGATCTGAGTTTGCGCATCCTGCCTACTTTGCCGGCGAAGAAAAATATACTCCGCAAAAACGAAAAAGTGGCAATAATAGAGAACTAAAAAGGAAGGTGGAGGGGTTATGTTTTTAGTTTCCGATGAAATACATATATTTTCAACGCCATTCTCAGATCTATAGCTATGGAGATGAGGAATGGGGTAGACTTTGTGAGAAAACCAGAAAAGCATGGGGGTAGGATTGGGGGCAAACTGGGGGACGAAGAGGGGTTGATTAGGATTTGGGAGTTGACACATACGAGTGGGGAAGATTAAGGATGAATTTGGGGGAAGGGAAAGGGGCATGAAGGCCGATGGGGCTGGGAATTGGGAGGTTGGATGCATGTTGGGATTTGGGAAGTGGAAAGGACAATTAATTTGAGATTGGGATGGGAAAAGTTGGGAAATGAAGGGGGATAAGAAGCACACAAGGGGATGTTGGGTATTAAATGATCGGGAAACGCGAAGACCCGGGCTAAATTAAAACCACGGGTAGACCCGGCTGACCCGGTAAACCCGCGACCCGGGCGCATTTACGGGTCACCTACCGGTCCGTTTTTTACAACATAGATTTACACTTTGGATCCCTAGGTTCTAATTGGATGTGGGACTCTCGTCTAGTTAACTATGGACATTGGGAAGTACTGAGATTTCTTCTATCAAAACAGAGTGAGCTGCAGGAAGCTCCTCAGCTACCGGCAAGAGTATCTATTCACTTTGGGATTCCAGCCACTGCATCTATCCTTGCTTTTGACACTATTCAACAGCTCTTAGCTATTGGACCACAGATGGTAGGCTGAAAGTCGTTGGAGGGAACAATATTGAAGGCCTTATGGTCTGAGAGCTGGAGAACAAACACTTGTCTTCTATATCAAAAAGGGAGTCACACATATCCACATTCTCTGCTGTCTATGGCACTCATTACATGTTATGGGGAAGGAATATGGTTATGTGTCTATGTTGAAATATGATGCCGGGAAAAGACAGGTTGTACAATTGCCATATTATGTTTCTCAGAATCTTGCAGCCGATGTGGATTTTAATGCCCAACCAAGTATCTATTGTTGGTTTGCTTCTCCACCTATATTCATTTGGAAATTGAGTCCTAACTGCTTATGAAAATGGATTACTTAAGCTCGGGGAGATTACAGAAGACAAAGCGGTTCTTCTTAGAGGTCAACAACATCGGCAACCAAAGGAAATGCTGTCAGAAAATATAACAGAGTAGCATGCCAATCAATTCCTTGCTAAAGAGAAGGATAATACTTATAGTTGTCGAGCTTCTGGTGCACTGTTACTGGAAGAGGTGATAAACTCTTGTGGTGCAGAGAGAATAAAGGCTATAATTGGATCTGCAGAAAAAAGGTTTAATGAATCACAGCGAGAGAAGACTGCTGGATCTCCGGGTTGGTGGAGAGTACGAGAAGCTAATCTTTTTGCTTGGGCTTCAGTGTCAGAGCAGCTACTTGAAACTGAGGTTTCTGAAAGTTTTGGGGCTACTGTAGGAAATATTGGCGACAAAATTCTTGTAGAAGACATTGCAACAGGGGTTGATGAGTATCCTTTTCTTGACGCTCGTATGTTTACATCCGTTGCCAAGTTTTCCTCTGTGATCAGCTGGAGAATGAATGAGCAGATTGGGTATGTGGCTGTTAAGGCCAAGGGCATGGATGTGCCTTCTGCTGTAAACGTAGGGGCTGATCAAGCACTTCCACAGATTTTAACTGAGACAGACTCTAGAGTCATTTGCCCACATTTCAAGGACTTAATTTCATCAATAACCAACCTACTTGAACATACATCTGATGAAATTATGCATCGGGTGCTTGAGACCCTACAGGCTGCTGTCAGGGCAGGTCGGGAACTATTGTCACCAGTGGAGTCCGTTCTTTCTCCTAGCATTCTTAATGTATGGGTTTCAAGCCCTTTAGCCAATATTGATACTATAGAAGTTTTAGAGGCAATCAAAACAGCTCCTGCTTGCATCCGGCCTTTAGTTTCTCGAATTTTACCTTCTATTGGGCATGTGTTGATGAAACCACAACAGCAGCCTGAAGGTTTAGTAGCTGGTTCACAAGATTCTCTGACAATGTTGCTGAAGGATGTGCCAATTGATGTCATCAAAGATGTTTGTGAAGTTTCTGTTGATCCATCAGGATAATCCTTCAAAGTGATGATCACAGTGAGAGGCAGGAATTACTGGGATGGAATGGAAATCCAAAGGTGAAGGAAGTGATGATGAAGGGTCAAATCATGAAGCTCAGGGTCCAGAAATCAGGGAGGTACAGGGAAGGGAGAGCCGGAGAGGCGCAAGGATGATGCTGTTGGTCAGGGTTGTTTCCTACCTCCCACCTTGAGGACAAGGTGGTTGTCAAAGGGAGAGTGATGATGGGGACATGGACAATCAATAATAATAAGAATAGTGGAATAATATTAAATAGTGTGATCTTGTACAAATGAGGGTTCTGGGCCATGTAATTCAGGAAGTGTGGGCTGCCTCTTAAGGATAATAATAGTATAAGAGGGGAAAGGAGGGAAGGAAAAAGTAGGCTGGAATTCAGTTGGGATCAGGCTTGGGAGAGGAGACTGCTCGAAGTGTCTCAATTGTATCTTTCTCTTTTCAGTTTTCAACAATTTCAATCTTAATACACAACCAATTTACCGTCAGATTTTAGAGTCTCTATCATTATATCTGTAAAAGATAAACAGTTAAAAACTTCAAATAATTATCAATTGAGGAACGTACCTTGCAGATTCATTATAAAGCGCGAATGGAGTAACACAACCAAGGGGTACCTTTGTAATAGAATATGAGAGAAACATAATGAGGAGTAAAGAGAAATTATTTTCATGATTCAAGCTTACCATATATCACATATCTTCAAATAACACTTCAAAAAGCTAAATGAAAATATCTTAACATAAAGCATATAAACAATATAAAGGTAAATCTCATCTTGAACGTATTAAAAAAAATAGCCTTTGGAGTCTGAGCTATATTAGGAAATGATAAACATTGGCAAATAAGAGGAATGATTGTTTTCACATTCTAGGTCCAATCAAAGTTAATTAGAGGTTCCACAGCTCGCTGTTGTTAATGAAAAAAATTAAATACGTAGTATGTTAAATACCTGTAGTGAATGACTTACCATTTGATTCGAAATTAAAAATATGGTTTTAAAAATCGGCTACTCAAAAAAATTGGGATCAAGGCTTGGATGTTGTTTAAAAATTTCAGCTCAATGTCCAGAAAGAGATTGTCTAGGATCTCAAAAAAATCGCAGAACAACTTTTGAAATGACAACACTAGAAGAAAAACAGCAGAAAATCACTTGCATAAAATTGAATACTGACAAAAGAAAGCAAAACATGTATGAGATGAATACCAAGATAAACTAACGACATCTCATACCTAGATTATTTGAATGACCCAAACAATGTATTGTCTAGAGAATGTTCAGCACTAATTTAGTGTGGCCAAATGGGTCAACCCGACCCATGGCTGATTATTTGTTTCACAGAGAGGGGTAGGCCATCTCACTTAATGATGGACTACAATTTATAAGCATCTAACCCAACCCACTTATAGCCACGAATCTAACGGGCAAACAAATAGGTCAAGACATAATTTTCATATAATGAAATTGCTTAAAAAATCACATTCCCTCTGTCCCAACCAAAGTGATTTGCAAAGTCTGCTTTTCTTGGTGGACACAATTTCATTTTATTTACTTATTTAGCATATCAGTTATTTATTACGGAGTATATCTTAAATTGGATTTTGTGACTTTATAACCTTTATAATATGAATATTTTAAATATTAAAACTAATTTAACTATACGAAGCAATGATCTTTAACTTTATCGCAAGTCAACCTTAAAAATCGAAAATTGAAATTCAATTCGGGACAAAGAAAGTGTATCTTAGTATAACTTAGTTCAAGCGAAAAGAAAATTAAAAACCCTAAATCGCTACATGTTTTACAACTTCATAAACACATGTACAATCTTTATTTTAATGGAAAAGACTCATAAACTTAACTTTGCAAATTATAATTACTATTGACTAATAATTGAGGAATGAGAGAATCTGGCACAAGGTGAGAGTATCACCTATTGAAGATAAGATTGCGGTGGTTTGGTCATGTGCGTAGGAGACCGAGTGATGCGCCTCCTAGACGAGTTGAGAGTGGGAGAAGAGGCAGGAGGAGAGGGAGAGGAAGACCCAAGCAAACATGGACTAAAGTGGTCAGGAATGATATGGTATATCTTGGGTTGGATGAGAGTATGACTTTGGAGAGAGAGAAGTGCAGGAAGAATATGCTGGTGGAAGATTGATATCATTTTATCTTTTTTAGCTCCGCTTCATATGACTATGTTAGATTTATCTAGATACGTAGTATATTGGTAGCTAAATAGACTCATTTGTATTATTCTAGAACTGACCTTTCATCTTATTTGACCTTTCATCTCCTTTCACTCATTAATGTACTTGTAAACTCATTATTATAAATAATGGAGTTCAGGGTTGTGGACAGATACACAACCAGAAAATTATTCTCTCCCTTGGAACTCTTTTTTATTCTCTCCTTTCAACTTGATATCATTTTATCTTTTTTAGCTCCGCTTCATATGACTAAGGCTTGGATGTTGTTGTTGTAGTATTTACTACTTTCTAAATATGCTTCAGCCCGTGTGCTGGTCTGCAGTCCACATGGCTAACTTACAACCCAAGTGGGTCACTCCGCAAAGCCTGTGGAAAACAGAGCCTGAAAATGTAACCTACATCCACTCTAAAACGGGGTTGATACGAGCCTGAACACGTTTTGATACTCCATTATAAATGAGAAAATGATGCAGTAGTTAAAAGCAATTTGGTACCTGAAGTATCTCTGTCAGTGAATCTTCTGGGGCCATCCTCAAGCCTCCTTTTCCCAATCCGAGCCTCTGAGCTAGAACTGCTCAGTATCAACACCAACATATGACTTCCATTTAAAAGTAAAAACTAAAATTTCCAGTCCAGTTCGTAAATACTACAAAGGAGTCCAACTCATTACATTGTAAACTTACAAAAAGCATCAGAATTAAACACGTACTTTTCAAGTCTATTCTGGTGTCTGCCAATGCAGAAACAATATAAAATCTGTGCTTCTTGTCCTGCACAAGAAAAAGAACAAATAATTCAACAATAGAGTAGAGTATATTCCACGAGTAAAACTAGCAATGCTGACATCACCTTCAAGAACAGATTTTTACTCAGTGCACCATTCAAATGTCCAACATATTTTTCCTGATTCCATAGATAAAAAACAGACAAATAACCAACTAATGTTCATCTCATACAGAAGCATTAACAATTGAAGTGAAAGATGGGATTCTGAAATATGCGGTAAACTTACCTGAGCTTCAACAGTCAATACAACAGGGTGCTCATATTGTTCAAAATCAATTTGGAGCTCCTAATGTCACAAAAAAATGAAAATCAGTTGATCAGAGAAACAACCGATTTACTAACCTCAAAATCTACTTCAAACCTTTAAATAGGTCATCAGTTGCTCCTTTGAGCAGCCCATGATTGGAGAATCTTGAAAGTTCTTTAAGGGGACCGGAGTGGTAAGATGAATTGAGTTTCAGCACTTATGACTGAAAACAAAAAATCAACCGGGTAGTTTTGTGGAGGATGATTGCAATTGGGTTTGGCGGGTTTGTATTTTTGCCGTTTCGGTAGTGTTTGTTTTCAAGAATGAAGAGCCTGGGCGATTGCACAAACGTAGTTTGGAAAAGAATGTAAAATGTTTATACTGTTTGATAGGATGTAAGGATGTAAAATGTTTATATTGTTTTAATTATTTAATACATTTTTTTAAAACATTTTGCACTGTACCATGTAAAGTATTTTACGTGGGGGAGGGTGCTAAAATACTTTGCATGCCTTTTATGAAGCATTGCAATGACTTTGCGTGTAATTTAAAAATAAATTACACATCTAGCCAAACAATGTAATCTATTTTACATGCAAAATGATTGCTTCCATATAATTTGCATGCAATCACTTCGCGTGCAAAGATTTAACGTGCAAACTATCAAACGAGCCCTAAATGTGGTTCGGAATTCGGAAAAATAGCTCAAAAATGGGCTGGTCTGATCCGGTCTTGTGTATTTTATAACTATGGAAATCTGATCTGATATAGTCTGGTCTGATATGGTCTGGTCTGGGACAGAAAACAGTCCAAAAAGAAAACATCCTAAGTGACACGCTGTTGTAAATACTAAATAGCTATTCGACCTTAGCATTTTTGAACGGCATCGCTGGAATGAAAACAGTACAAATATAAGAGTTTTGAGTTAGCGTTTTGAAATATGACGTTTTCTACTAATTATTGCGGCCAAACCACTAAATTGTCCAACATCTTCTGACAACCCGCCAACTCATTCCGCTAGTCTAATCCGCTGACTGAATACATTATTGACAATCCGCTAACCGCTAACCGCTAACCGCTAACCGCTAAATGTCAAACACATCCAATATAAACAATAGTGGTTGGTACTTGGTTGTGACAAATTTTCAAAGAGTAAATTGCTCAAACTCTGGCTATGGCATAGAACTCCGACGATGACTGAATTTGGCAGATCGGCGGAAGAAATCTGGGGGGGGGATTCCGGCAAAAGCGATCGGCGGCAAGTGGCGGTCTGGCCATCTGAGCAACCTGGGAGCAGCTGCTCCAATCCTATGAGGTATTTTAGTCTGGTTACAAATACCAAGTCCTATTCGTAGCATTTTAAACTAGTAGGTCCTACTTTTTGTAAAAATGATATGTTTTGGTCCTATTTGGGTAGATCTCCCATTTTTAAAATATCAAGCTTTCTTCATAAAGGTTGAATTTATTTTAACTTAACAAAGTGTCTTTTTAGTGATTTTAGAGAAAATACGTAATGGTACTCTATTCATCTAGTTGGACTTGGTTATATTTCTTACTCTGTAGTTTTTGAAGTACAAATTTGTCTTGATAGTGTATGTCAGTATGTGTTTTAGAAATTGACCCAAACTAACCAAGTCGACCCGGAAATGGGTGACTCGGACCAAAAACCACGTAGTTAAAAACCCAAAAATTGCCCAAAAAACAGGAAAACCCTGGTCAATAAAAAAAACGATTCGGCCCCAGACCAGAAACCCCCCTACAACCGGGGGGAAACCAGATTTAGAGGGTTTTTTTCGATTTTTTTGGTTTTAAGCATTTTAAATCAATAAATTTGCAACTTGAAGTCTTGAATACCTAAAAATATATGATTTTTTTTTAAAGAAAGTTTATTGATAGAAAATAAAAGTACAGTGTGAAAAAAAAAGTACACGAAAGAAAAATAAAGTGCAAAAGAAAAGGAAAAAAAAAAGTACAAATAGGAAAAGGAGCTAATCTCACGGGAAATCTCTGGATTGAGACCTAAAAATATATGATATATTTAAATATTTATTTAAGAAAGAAAATTACGACAAATTATATTATAATGTACAACACAAATAATAAATAACATTATTTATTCTAATAGGATTAAAATTATATTTTGAAATATTATGAGAATACTTTAAATGATTACCACGTATTATCATTAGTATATTATTATGAATAATAATTACAGTACATTTTATTGAATTATATACTTCGTATATAATTATATGTTTATTACGGAGTATTATATAAATGAATGATGGCCGGTTTTCTAATGTTGACCATGTTGACCCACCAAATCCAAGCTGACCCATGACCCAGTCATATGGCTCGGTCGCTTCTTGGCCCGGTTTTACAACATAGGATAGTGTTTGAGTTTATTTTAACTTTAAAAAGTGACTTTCGGTGTTTTCAGAGAAAATACTTAATAGTGCTCTCTCCGTCTTGCTAGACTTTGTCAAAGTTCCTTTTAAGGAGTCTTAAAAACTAAATCACTTGGTTCTTAAAACAAACGAAAATATAGTAAAAGAAATTAATATTCCAAGGAACAAACCAAAAAGATTGCATCAAAAAATAAAAAATAAAAAATAAAAAAAGACATCACAATCCTAAAGTTTAAAACTTGTGTGCACTTAAAAAACACACACCCAACCTCTTTGTCAGACTACCTCTTTTACTTTACTCTCTCGTCTCTCGTCACATTCACTTCCCTTATATCTATATTTTACTCCTATGAATAGTGACTCTGTGGACACACTCACCTTTTGGTCAATGGTTCATGAAACACCGCCCACATATGAAGATGATGATGGAGTTCTTCCAAAAGAAATTATGAACACATTGACTTGTGGAGAAGTTGTAGTCTCTTGCAACATTCCAGGTCCAAACACAGAAGACGAAGGCAGTGAACCCTAAACCCTAAACCCTAAACCCTAAACCCTAGTGGAAATAATAGGGTGATGTGTGGAGAAATTGAGGTCTCATACAACATCTCATATCTGAAGGAAGAAGATGAAGATGTTCAAGATATTCAAGAAGAAGAAATTCACAACAATATTCCATATTTAAAAGGCCGACCTTTGGATTACAAAATTAAGAAAATAGTGCTTCAAAAATAAAGAAAATTAGAGGACACGATGCAGTGGTACTCTTTTGCTTTTGGTTCACACCATGCGGACAACCGTACGGACCTTGTAAAAATTTCATCGCTCAAATCTTCGGTGGTCCGCAGTCCGCACGACGTGTGGACCTCGCACGGTCCGGCCGTGCGGACCTTCTTGCAGCCATGTACTGAACCGCACGACATGCGGACACATGCGCACGTCGTGCGCTTCAGAAAATCAAAATACACCCTCTCTAATTCATCCGCACGCCGTGCGGCCAATGTGTGCACGGAGCGCGGACCTCTTTTAGATCGTTTTCTTACTGTTTTCTTCCCCGTCTGATCCCAAATGATCCCGAACTCAAGTATTGACCTCTTTTGACTCTAAACCCTCTCCTTATTTGCCCCTTGGATCTCCGATGCCTCTTGTCAACTCTCGAACGCGTCCTAACTTATTCTCCAACGCTGATGTCGGGCTCAAATTCCTGACTTTTAATTCTAAAAACAACCAACGCAAACCAAAACCCAGTAAACTGTGACTTGAGCTAATTAGGTGCTTTATGACACATTTAAGTTAGGAAAATTGGCAAATACCAATCCCAACACACATCAAATGCATGTCAAAATATGGACTTATCACACCACGGGCGATGGATCAGTTATGGCCGACAGTAATCCTAAGAACAATGATTTTTGAGTTGGGTAGTGTTTGAAGATGAAAGGCATGAATGGAAACTTAATGCAAGAGGAAGATGAGAAGGGGTTGGTAGACAAAGTTGTGACGGCAAGGATGGAGGAAACTAAGAGGAGGTTACAAATATCTCTCCAAGGTAAATGAGTAGATGCATCTAGGATGGTTGAATGTGCTAATCGGGTGGAAAACCAAAAGCAACTAAGGTGTGGGATGAGAATATGGCGGGGGTTCAAGAAGCAACATGCATGGAGGTGATCGGCCAAAAAGTGAGGAATGGGACGTGTCCTATGTAATAGGCTCGCCTTCGCTATTTTTTAATATTAGTTGTGCTTTTTTATTTTAGGGTTTGTTTGTTATGATGTAAAGTAAAGACTTTGTGTGCAAAGTGTAGGGGAGTAAACATTTTACACTGTTTGTTTTAACTATTTAATGTAAACTGTATGACATTTTTTTGAAAAACATTTTACATTGTGCCTTGTAAAATATTTTACGTGGGAGGAGGGTAGTAAACTAGATTACACTCGTTAATATGGGAAAAAATATGTCGAATTATGATTTTCAATTACGACTTTGAAGAAATTAAGTAAATAAATGTCCTGAGTACAAAAGCGCGGACGTCTCCTTAGGGTTCTAGGGTTAGAGTTTTGTTGTGACGATTCTTTCCTCGTTCGTCGGGGGGAGGGATCGATCTGCAGAGTATTGATTTCGTCTTTGGCTTTGTAATCGGAAGGGAGGCAGGGCTCGGTCTCCAGATTTGGACTTGGCTTAGGAAGGGAGCAGGTCTCACTTTGGGGAGGTCTGCGATGAGCGTGTTCCTTGTTCGGCAGGGGGGAGGGCTTTAGCTTCAGCACGGTTTCCTCGGCTCTGAGTTTTGCCCCACAAGAGTTTTGGCGAGGAGGGGGTAGCAGGGCTCGGGCAGATTCGGATCGCTGCTTTTGTTCGGGAGCCCAGAAGATGCCATTGGAATTTGTGAAGGTGGGCTTGCAAGGAAGTTTTCAAGATGCAGGTTTCATGGCTCGTCCCCCTCCTGAGCCACTGCCGAGGATGATGGTTAAAGCATGGATCCGGTTGCTCTGTCAGTTAATTTTATTTAATTTCGTTTTACCCTTTTTGAGCTTCTTAGTCATGAATATTGTCGTTGTTGTCTTCTGCAATTTTTATTTCAATCACTTTTACATTAGGTGGGGGGTAATGAGGGTTTTGCTCTGACCACGTTTGGCTCAATTAGACCCGCTACAAGATCAGCGAATCATATTGCTTTTTCTAAGGTGATTGATTCTCCAGCTGGTTCGAGGGTTGGTGGCGGGAAGTATTTCCTTTATCTATTATGTCCCTTGCTGAATGTTTTATTATCAATATAAGCCTCCCCGTTACAAAAAAAAATAAGACTTTGAAGACTGGAGTGTTGCTGCAAAAGCATCAAATCTCTTATCCTTCTACGTTGCTTTACACTCCATGTTCCACTCTCCAATCCACGTTCCAAGAGGTTGCTTTTACACTGGTTTATTTTTCTATCATACATACATACATACATACATACATACATACATACA